GTTAGAACTGGATATGGAACAACTGATTGGTTCAAAATTGGGAAAGGAGTACGACAAGGCTGTATATTGCCCCCCTGCTTATTTAATTTATGTGCAGAATACATCATGCGGAAGGCTGGACTGGAGGAATCGCAAACCGGAATTAAGATTGCCGGAAGAAATATCAACAACCTCTGATATGCAGATGATACCACTCTGATGGCAGAAAGTGAGGAGGAAATAAAGAACCTTGTAATGAGGGTGAAAGACGAGAGTGCAAAAAACGGTCTGAAACTCAACATCAAAAAAACTAAGATCATGGCCACTGGTCCCATTACCTCATGGTAAATAGAAGGGGAAGATATGGAGGCAGTGACAGATTTTACTTTCTTGGGCTCCATGATCACTGCAGATGGAGACAGCAACCCCGAAATTAAAAGACGCCTGCTTCTGGGGAGGAAAGTGATGACAAACCTTGACAGCATCTTAAAAAGCAGAGACATCACCTTGCCAACAAAAGTCCGAATAGTCAAAGCTATGGTTTTTCCTGTCGTGATGTATGGAAGTGAGAGCTGGACCATAAAGAAAGCAGACCACCGAATAATTGATGCATTTCTATTGTGGTGCTGGAGGAGGCTCTTGAGAGTCCCCTCGACTGCAAGGAGAACAAACCTATCAATTCTAAAGGAAATCAAACCTGAGTGCTCACTGGAAGGACAGATCCTGAAGTTGAGGCTCCAGTACTTTGGCCATCTCATGAGAAGAGAAGACTCCTTGGAAAAGACCTTGATGTTAGAAAAGTGTGATGGCAAGAGAAGGGGACAACAGAGGATGAGATGGCTGGACAGTGTCTGCGAAGCAACCAACATGAATTTGATACAACTACGGGAGGCAGTGGAAGATAGGAGGGCCTGGCGTGCTCTGGTCCATGGGGTCACGAAGAGTCAGACACGACTAAACAACTAAACGAACGAACGAGTACATAAGATACTGCTCTTCATAAAGGCAACTTTAACTAGAACATGGGAATATTTTTATGCTACCCAAAACTCACACTTTATTTTGAGATTTTCTATGCTATAAATATAAGTTCAAGGTAACTTATTATTTACAGAGACACACAGTCATCAGACCTTTGTGTTCTTCGAAAGATCCAGCATACTTATTATATGCAGTGCCACAAAATAAGGACGTTTTGCTCGATACTAGAAACTATAAATGTTGCACAGTGAACAAGTGAACTCATGAAATAAATTGTAAAGGTCAAAATAATCATATCTGAGCATGTGGAGGTAGGCTCCATTGTGAGGCTGGTTGGATGGCTTGAGGGTGCTAAGGATTTTCCCCACAAATGGGACCCAAGCCGTTGCAGTCGGAGTTTAAGAGCCGGTTTTGTTAATTTTGTACACTCCGGACTGGAGCGGGTATAGTGACTTTCACCCAGGCAGAACAAGCAACGATTGTGGCCGTCAGTAAAGGGGATTTTATTGGCACACGTCATACAACACTTGAATGGGCCTGAACAGGCCATTAAAAAGGGTGGGAAGGTGGGAGAGGAAGACGAAAGAAAAATAACTCACAGGGAAACGTCCATAAATGAAAAACTGATCAAGTCCATAATCCAGGAATCGAAAATGTTAGGCAGTCCATAAGATCAAAAAAACGTAAGATTGAGAAAATCAGAAAATCACTCTAGTAATTGCCACAGAAGTCCGATTTCAGCGGCAGCTAAAAGGAATGGAGGTATTATGGACAGGCAGAGCATGCGTGCCACAGGGCAACATCCCACTAATCATGTCTTTATAAGCTCTAGAATATTCTGCGAATTCCTGCACAGGCACAGTAAAAGTCATTTGTGTGCATTCACAGAGGCCACAAAGAAGAATGTAAGGGTCAAAATAATCATATCTGAGCATACAGGAGTTGTTTTCAGCTATTTGCGTAGAGTGACAGTGAAAAACATTCTCCCCTGACTACACTTTTTTTCCATTTTATTTTCTATTATTTTCTACAGAACAACAGTAGAACTAACATGGCTGCTATACACTGAAGTATCAGCAGTAATGGCCACTAAAACCAGGTTGTGTTTTTAAGTATCTTAGCACTAGGATAATGTAAGGGCTTGGCTGCACAGCTTGGCTAGAGTGTGCTAAGCGAGGGCTAAATAGGGTCGCTTAAGGAAATCAAAAATGTCATATGATGTGATCTTTGGTCTGCTTTACCTTTCAAAGAAAGTACAGTAAAGCAGACTGGAAGCAGGAACAGACAGGAGGAGGAAGCAAGACAGAGGATTTTTCCCCCTTTTCTTTACAGCCTGGGAAACCAACCACAAAACAAAAAAATACTATGATCAAAAATCACTAAAACTATATATCTTTTGTGGAACAATAAAGAGGTGTTCATCTAATGCCAAAAAACCATAATGTATGTGGTTGAGAACTTTCTCTGGGAAAGCTTTTCCACAGACTGAATGTCAATACTGAAAAGACCCTCTCTCTTACAGCCATCCTCTCCTGTTACATTTCTTTTTTTAACAATAAGAACTCACAGGCCAAAATCCTGTTAAAAAAACATACACACAATGAAATCATGGAGTGATTTTGTTCCCCTCTCATGTGGACTGTCCTTTGCATGAATAGCTGTATGCACAGTTTCGCATCCAGCGAGCAATTAATCATGGAAAGGAAAACAGGAGAGCAGCAAAATACTTAAAGCAATACAAACATATTCTTTAATCTCTTACCCCTTCCTTCAAGGGAGAAATAATCGAACTATACCTTTAACCTGGTGCAACTGGCAACCAGGAATGCCACACAGGTGGGTATGGGAACTTCCTTACAGATGAGTATCAATTATTTAGCAGATTGGTGATTAAAGAACATCTGCTCTCCCTCCACCAGCAGACTCAGTATCTGTGCTCTCTATAGAATAAAGCCTATTCCTCAATGTCTAGTATAGCGCTAGTCAGACAGGCAAAGCAAAGATACTCTTCTGTTTCCCACTGAAAAATCAAGTCCACAACTTTTGTGCACTTCTGGATTCAACCCAGCGCAAGTCTAAGTGGTGGCCAGAAATGCATCTGTACAGTTAAGGCTGGTGTGCCAGCTGTGTCCATTCCTCGAGATGTCTGATCTGGCCATGGTGACACACATTTTGGTTACTTTCTGTTTGGATTACTGCAATAAACTTTATGTGGGCCTGCCTTTGAAGAGTGTTTGTAAATTTCATCTAGATCAAAATGCTACAGCCAAACTGGTTAAAGGGAGCATGTAACTCCCTGATTACAACAGCTTCACTGGTTGCCAGTCTGTTCACAGGCCCAATTCAAACTGCTAGTTAAGATCTATAAAGCCTCATACAATGGTGCCTCGCAAGACGGACGCCTCGCGGGATGAAAAACCCACAAGACGAATGGTTTTTTGCGATCACTGTGGTGCTTCGCAAGACGGCTTCTTATATGGCCATGCTTCACAAGACAATTTTTCCCCCAAGACTGATGCCTCATATGACGAAAATAATTCATTCGTCTTGCGAGGTTCCCATAGGAATGCATTGCAATGCAATCCTATGGGAAACCACTTTTCGCAAGACGAACATTTTGCAAGACAGCGCTACTCGCGGAACGAATTACTTTTGTCTTGCAAGGCTTCACTGTATACCCTGGGTCCTAGCTATCAGAATGACTATACCACCTCCACAAACCTCCTGGCTTTTAAGATCTCTCTCCGTCCCATCACAAGTTTGTGCACTTAGGACAAGAGAGTCTTCTCAATGGGGGTTCCCAGGCCCTCTCCCTCTTTTCCTTCTGTTGACAGGCAATGGTCTTCCTTTTCAGGCAGGCATTTAAGCTACAAGTTGGAACTTTAGGAATGCTGCATCTATTGAATTTAGAGATTTTTAAAATGTTTTAAAAATGCTTTTATGGTGTTTTAAATGGTAATTTTATTATATGCTTTTTTGTGTGTTGTGCCCTGTGATGTTTTTAATGGCAATTATTATGTAGTTTTAACTGACTTTGAGCTGCCTTGAGTCCCCTATGGGGGGAAAGGTGGCATATAACTAAAATAAAAAAAAGTTAATATTGCAATCTAAAGGAGGTGACGTAAAATATTAAGTCCAGCATATCAAATTACATAAGTATATAACTTGTTTGAGACAGCGGCAAATGTTTTTAAACCCACTACTGGCTGATACATACATTTCACCCAAGAACCAGAAATTGTATTCTGGCACTTTAAATATCAACACATTTTCATCATTTCATCTGATGTAGTAGTTGACTACAGAGAACAGATACAACAAGACCTGTATCTAGGCTCCAGAGACAAAAAGAACTGGATTCAATCAGAAAATGGAGGCCATCTTTAGCAGAAATATTACTTACTTGCTGACTTCTTTGTATTGTGCTATTTCTTCAATATAAAGGAGATCATGCAGTCGTGACTGGTAGTTACTCTTGGTCAATGATTTATCCAAGACGGACTGTGTAAATAGCTGGTCAGCAGACAGAGGAATTTGGTATCTAATCAGAAGGCTCTTATCCAATTCAGTAGTCTCATTTGGCTCAAATTCTACAATAGTCTTAGAGGTGGAATCCCAACGCTTGGCTGTGGTTAACAGTTGTTGTCGTGCATTCATCCTATATTCAAGATCTGCGTATCAACAAGAGAAATACAGAAAAATTATGATTGGCTGTATTTTTCATTCATAATCCATGATAAATTGATATATTAACATGTGTGACATGTCACAAACACTGAGGTACAGAAGTACATGTTTAAGTGGCACACTATGTCCCTTATAGACACTATCATAGCTTACACTCCTAAGAGCTCCTATTACTGAACTAGATTTAAACAATTTTAAAAATACAATTCTAGAGATTCCACTAAACCTCCACAATTTCTACCATCCTAAATTTATCTCTGACAAGAGACTGTTCCAGAGATGTAGTCACAAACAAATTAGAACCATAAGAGAACACAAAAAGAGAGGTTACTTACCTGTAACTGTGGTTCTTCGAGTGGTACTCTGTGAATCCACATGAATGGGTTAAACTGTGCCTGCGCAGGACTCTTCAGAATATTCTAGAGCTTAAATAATGACCAATTAAACATCTCCCCATGTTGCGCATGCTCCGCCTGCCCACGGTACCTCAGTTCTGAATATCTGCCGCTGTAATGGCTCTGAAAATTAAATGCCAAAAGAAGTCGTGATGGATAGCGGGGAGGTTGGGCGGGATGTGTGGATTCACAGAGTACCACTCGAAGAACCACGGTTACAGGTAAGTAACCTCTCTTTCTTCTTCATGGTCTCTGTGAATGCACACAATTGGGTGACTAGCAAGCTCACTTACCGGAAGGAGGGCTGTCACGGCAGAACAGAAGTCAGCACAGCCCCTCCAAAACCTGCTTCTTTCTTGGCTCTGACATCCAGTCTATAATGCGTAGCAAAGGTCAATGGTGTAGACCAAGTGATTCTCCGTCAGTTTTCTCATTGAACAGCCTAGCACCGTCAAACACAAGCTCTTCAATCCATGACCTGGTGTCGTTGTTGATGCCTGCTGAACGCAACCAGGCATGCCTGCAAAGAGCAATGGCTGATGTCATCGCCTTGAAAGCTGCATCCGCAGAATGCTGGGATGCCCGGCATTGCTGTTTGGCAGCCGGGTATTTACTCAGGAAAGATGTGTCCTTTAATGATTTTCAATTCTTCTTCAAATCTGTAAAGATGTAGGTGGCTGATTGCAGGATTCCTTGATCAGATCTAACATTGATGGAATAAAGGCTAAGTTCAAATGAAGTGATTTCTCTTGATTTATATAACCAAATATCAAGTCTTGCTTGGGGGTGGAGGTTGATCTATGTCTAATTCCAGTGACTTAGCCACTCGGAGTATTAATTGAGAGTATGACGTGAAATCTTCTGAGGGAGATGGGGGGTGTATATCAGCCACGTTTGAGTCTGGTGTGGCCAGGTTAGAGGGAGATTCTCTAAATGCTTCTGCCTGTTGATCTTGGTCAGACAAAGACGATATCAACGAGCCTCTGGAATCTCTATCAAGGGACAGAGGGGGTGAGGGTGGGTGTCTGTGTGTTCTTGATACGGAAGTTGATACTCTCGGAACCGGTGCCAACAATTCTATGTCAGGCAGATGAGTGGGTCTTGAGGGTGCAGTCTGACCGGATGCCTGAGAATGGGACATTCTGGAGTGTGATACTGGTGGTGCCAGTATCGACGGTGCTCGAGATCGCTTCTCCAGGAGGGTTGAATGATGCTCGCTTTGAAAATAGCGCTTAGAAATAGGCTTTGTGGCCATCGGTTCGACCTGGAGATAAGTTTGATGTCGATGTCAAGGCGGTGAAGGAGAAGGGGATGACCCCGAAGAGGCGTAGATGTAACATACTCTCTTGGGTCTAACATAATCCCCGGTGTCATACAATGGATCAATGTCATAGCCATGATATTGACTTCGAACTCTATGTCACTCTGTTTCTACTTACAGTGGCTCCTCATACTCGGCAACAGCCTGACGCTGAGATGGACACGGGTGCACTATGACATCCCAATGTTGAGAAGGATGTCTGTCTGGAGAGACATGCCAATGTTTCATTAGATGTTTCAGCAGAGAGGATGGTCGTGGTGACACCTCTGAATCCGATACCTGAGCCACTGTCGCCTGTCCAATAGACATGGGGCTAGAATGGGCTGAGGCCAGTCTGGAAATCATCTCAGCCTCTGAACAGCCGTGACTCGGAGATGGGCTCGGAATCAACCTCAGCGCCTGTGGCTGTGGTTGTGATGGAAAGCCATCTCCCCCTGAAAGCGATTCAGGATCACGCAGCTCCCTGGACGACTCCTCCAGAATGGGCAAAGGCAATGTGATTCTAACCGGGGAAGGTTCCCTCAGTTGAACAGACTTATGTGGATGTTTCACCTTTTTTTGCTTCTTTGTCTTAGGATCTTTACTAGATGGCACGCCTTCGGTACCGATGCTGACCCCAGTGTCAAAGATTTCTTAGACAGTTTAGATTATGCTTTGGAAGAAGGAGTAACCAGTGTTGGTACGAGGGGTAGGGAGAGCAGTAGGAACGGTAGGTTCCATTTCTGTTGAGCCCAAATGTGTCAAAGACTTTTCCCAGAGATAGAAAAGGAATTGTTGTAACCGAGGCTTTAAAGCAGGCTTGCTTAGTTTCTTGCAGTCCTGGCAAATATTGGGCTGATGTCTTTCCCCCAAACAAAACAAACAGCGGCCATGGCCGGCCATGAACGGGATTTTGTTAGCACACTATGTGCAACGTTTGAATGGGCCTGTAGAAGCCATAAATTTGGCGGGAACCAAAAGAACGATATCAATGAAGGGGCAAACTCATGGGAGACAATAGTGATAGAAGTCCTGATTCAAGCCGAGATATCAAGCAGATAAGAGGAATCAAGTATAAGTCCAATCCGTAATCCAAAATCAGAACGGTAAACAGTCCGAGGGTCAAGCCGAATAATCACGGAAGCAAAATCAGGATCAGAGCGAAATCGAAGGTCAGGTCAGTCCGAATCAATAAGCTAGATGAAAATTGTAGTCGGAAAACAGTCCAAGGTCAAACCAAAAATTTTTAAAAGAAGAATTAACTCTAAGTGATTCAAAGTAGTCTGACTGCAGTGGCGGCAAAAAGGTACCGTGGGCGGGTGGAGCATGTGTGATATGGGGAGACGTTTAATTGGTCATTATTTAAGCTCTAGAATATTCCGAAGAGTCCAACGCAGGCATAGTTTAACCCATCTGTGTGCATTCACAGAGACCACGAAGAAGAACATAGGAGTGCTGGCATCTGGAAATAAAATACAAATCTGAAAAGCAAACATGCAATAAATGATATATGGGTGCCCAAGAAACACTGTTGTTGTTAAAAAGGACAAGGCTACTATTTATTCTTCTTTTGTTTGGAAGGGTTATGAGTACTAGTTGCCAAGCTCTTTGTCTTTAGAGGAAAATCAATCATCAGAACGTGCTGAATGCATGTAAAACAAAGTGGAAATAAACAGAGAAATAGGAGCAGAGTGTTATCTTTGTGTCCCATTAATTATCATCCAGCTGATTTCTTCTTCTCCTGTTTGATAATCAGAATTTGAAGAAGAGCAAACGGCCCTACAAATTAACACTGCTGTGTATTATTGTTAGCAGCTTTATTTGTTTTTCTTCTTACTGACCACACTGACAAAAACGATACGCTGAGATTCTGGAGAATCCTCACCTATTATGAACTTGCCACTTCTCTAGTAATCAGGAATGTTTCTTTGATGCTATCTAAATGGGGAATTCCAATTTGCCACTCCAAACAAAGCAGAAATGGAAAAGGGGGAATAAAGCTTGTGACTGCAATTTTGGTTTGTAAAGCAAGAGACAAGCCAGGCCCCAAGTTCAGATGATACACAAAATCAAGAGTCAATAAAATGAACTCTGCCACACTTCTGCAGTGCCAAAGCTACTTCATGCCACCCCAATGGATATATTTAAAGTGGGGGGAAAACAATAGCTTTTGTTACCCTGGAAGCTTTAGGAAGGTGAGAAGTGCCCCAAGCCCCCAAACCAAAGAATTAAAATCAGAAATTCAGAAATTGTGGATTCATTCCCTCCCCCTGCAAATATTTATGCTGTTTTCAGTTATTACCAGTGTTGCCCATGTTGAGTGCTGGGTGTGTGTGAAAATGGGGCCAACAGGCCCACTAAAGTTGCTCACCCGAGCACCTATAAACTGTGCACAGTTTTTGAGTTTCTTATACAAATATAATCTGGTTTTGCATTTGTATTATTTAAAGACGGCACAGCCTTTTCTAATTTTTTCCGAATTATAGAGATTCGGAAAGGCGCTTTATTGGATTACAGCGTCAAAGGTGCAATGCTGGCAACTCTTAATTTTAAAAAAATTCTCACATCTCTTGGCAAAGAAGGTCTGCCTCCACCACCAAATGTGGCTTCCATTCTGATCACAAAAGAAGCAGCTCCCCTTCCCTTACATCACCTTATATGAGAAGCAAGCTTGAAATGGATGCAGGAAGTGACCAAAGCCTCCTGTGCCAGCTGTCTGTGTTACCATCCACAAAAGTCTTTTTCAAGCCTGCTTCTACTCTTCAAAAGGGCCGGCATTACACATACACAGAACAGATAAGTCAACTTGCCAGATATTGTTTTTTTTTTTTTAATTCTTGAAGGCTTTCACAGCCGGGATCTGATGGTTGTTGTGGGTTTTTCAGGCTGTTGCAATAGAGCATGGACTGAGTTCCTACTCCAGCCCTCTGAAGATGCCGGCCACAGAGACTGGCGAAACGTCAGGAAGAACAACCTTCAAAACACGGCCTGAAAAACCCACAACAACCATCTTTTTTTTTTCTTGTCCACATCTCCCTTTGGTAACCTAGAGCACATCTATTTTAGGTAACCAGAATCTCAATTACATTTGCTAATGAAGAACCAGATATCTATTCCCAAAAAACACTAACAGTATTGTTCTGGAATATGTAAAGCTATTCAGTCTGTAAAAACACACATAATATGAACACTGCTCATGAATGTAGGTTCTTCAATCACATGTTGCTATGGTTTGCACTGCCGCCATTGCTCTTGCCCTTGATCTACAAAGTACTCAGTACAAGAATTG